CAGTTTTAGTGGCGCTCTTGGATTTTGCTTCTGCTACACCGCTTCCCTATTGTTGCAATTACAGTACTACTGCTGCTACTGCTACTGCTACTGCTACTGCCACTGCTACTGCCACTGCTACTGCTACTACTGCTACTACTGCTACTACTGCTACTACTGCTACTACTGCTCCTCCTACTACTACTACTACTACTACTACTACTGCTACTGCTACTGCTACTGCTACTGCTGCTGCTGCTACTACTGCTGCTACTGCTACTACTACTAATAATAATGCTACTATTTCTGATGATGATTATTATTACTACTACTACTACTCCTACTCCTACTCCTACTGCTACTGCTCCTGCTCCTGCTCCTGCTACTGCTACTTACGACAACAACACCACCACCACTACCACTACAACTACGACTATCACTACCACCACTACTACTACTACTACTACTACTACTACTACTACTACTCCTGCTGCTGCTCCTGCTGCTGCTGCTGCCACTGCTACTGCTACTACTGCTACTACTACTACTAGTACCACTACTACTACTACAATAGAAATAATGATTACTGCTACTGCTTCCGCCACTGCTTCCGCTACTGCTGCTGCTGCTGCTGCTGCCAATGCCACTGCCACTGTCTCTACAACTGCTACTTCTTGAGCAACAGTAGCTTACAGCAGCAACAACAGCGGCTATAGCCGGCACGACACGACGATTACTGCCGTTGCCTTGGGCATCTTGCTAAAGAGTACACTCAAGGATAGACGGAGACTAACATCCAGAATAGACGATGCCTCAGCCATGTGTCCGAAGCAGAACCCGGAGAGTTCCAAAGCTCTGACGATTTCACCGACACGACAGGCAGCAACCAAACATGGTCAGCGCAAGAAATCCAAACCCGCGAAAAAGCACCAGGTATCCGCACACTGCAACCCAGCAAGGAAACGGGAAGCTCGAAGTCGCACAACAAAGCCCGAGCAGGCGTCCGGCCACTGCATGACGGCTGAGTTCACGGCAAGGTGCCGCAAGCTCTGACAAATGCATGAACCCTTTAAAACTAGTTCCCGAGCTGCACTTCATTGCACTTCACCAAACACGATCCGCTATATCCAACGTGAACGCCCGAATCCAAACCGTCAACCCTCAAATGGAAACGAACCTCAACTCAACAGCCCGTCTGATTGGTGTCCTCCTCTATCTCCGCCGTAGTCTCGGAAGACTCGTTGGAACAGGCGGCTCCAGGCGCTGCCTTTGGCTGCGATCGCTTTTGGGTAAGCCCTGCTGGCATTCTCGAGCATTCGGGGCTGACGTTTCAGGGCCGAGAATGCGGTGGCTTTGAAACGCTGACATGCTTTTGAAGCTTTTGGGGCCTCGCGTCGTGGACGCCTCAGGAACCTGCCTTTTGGGGATTTGGAACATCGCAGAGGGGGCCTGTCAGGTTCGCTGAACCTGCAAAGCTAAAATACGCCGTAGGCACATGTAGGCCCCCAAACAACGCCACGACGAAGTCCAAAATCTCAATCACGCTCCTGTTTACATCTCAGGGACTGCTCTGGCCAGATACACGATGTACGTCACCACTTCCTGAGCTTGAACTCCCGTCTCGAAAGCCGAGACCCTGCGTCGCAGCGTTTACAGACACTGGTCTGCAGATGAGCAGCGGAGACATCACCCGGAGGATCCCATGTCAGGGGCCCCCCGATATCAGTAGCATCCAAGTCGTAGTCAGCGAAGGTGACGTTGGACACCTATGGGAATCGAGAAGACCCTGAGCTTGCATCACACTCGGCTGGGACTACGCAGGGATAATCTAGTGCTTAGCATGAAAGGAGCAGCGACCGCGTTGGAAGGGCAATCTTGCAGTTGGCAGCAACAGCGCAATGATACGTGAGGACAGTCGGCAAGACAAGCCGGGGCCCGGGCTGTTGCGAACGTGTCCGAAAGTGCTGCTGCGACCGGAGTTGTCTGCTCGGCCAGTGAAGACCTCTCACGAGTTGGATCAGTGCAGATTTGTGTTGCGTTTCGTTCATTTTGCCATGCGCACACACTTCGATGTTTCTGGTCTGTGCATGAGCATTTACCGCCATCTGGGGTTCGCAGCCAATATCACGGCTGGAAGCGTGCACATACAAGGGGTCCAAAAGCAGCAACACCACCTGCTCCCGATGGGGACGAAGGATTGTTCACACGGTGCGAACCCACGGAATACCTTGTCGATCCTTGCGGAGACTTCACGTCACACTGATAGTCAAGATTGGTTCTAACAACACTGCGCTGCACAGAATCCTCGCGTGTCCCCCTGGCATTTTCAGAAATCGATTAACAATTGAATGCGCGGCGATGGACCAGTGTTCTCCACGTCTGAGCCCTGAAACACTGTGAATCACGAATCTGTGCAAGCTGGACCCATTCGCGACAATCTCGGATTCCCCTCTGTTCTCTGATAAGTGTGGCATCACTTTCACGACGAACAGACAACAGTTTCATCCTAGTACATGCATGTACATGCATGCATGCAGATACATACGCATAAATGCACACACTCACACACACACACAGTCACGCACATACACACGTACACAACTACACAAAAACACAAAATGCACTACAGTACATTATACTGCATTACAACACATTACACCAAACTACACTACACCACACTACATTACACTACATTACACTACATTACACTACAATTACATTACATTACATTACATTACATTACATTACATTACATTACATTACATTACATTACATGACATTCCGCCACACTACACTACGTTACATTACAACACATCCTATCTCATCATCTGCATATATGTATAGGTGCATGTTCTGTTTTTCCTATACATACATACATACATACATACATACATACATACATACATACCTTCATACATACCTTCATACATACATACATACATACATACATGCATGCATGCATACGTACATACATACATGCATGCATACATGCATATGCATATATATATATACACATACATATATATATATATTATGTATATATATATATATATTATCTTATTATATGTATGTATGCATGTCTGTCTGTATGTGTGTTCTGTATAGATTACAGAACACCGCGATTCTGCCCAGCCGCATATCAGACCTACAGACAGCATGACGCTGACCATCAACATCCACGCCCCTAATGTGAAGGGCTGTCCTAGATGTGTATGCCGCCATGCAGAGCCACCGCTTGGGGTCGAAGCAGCGTGGCCAGCCCAGACAGCGAAACTCTGCGCGACCGTTCATCTGCCACCGACTATTCTCCACGGTCCCAGATGCTTGACGTAACGATGAAAAGCAGCTCTCCCGCCCTGTCATGCCATGTCATGATGCTGACGGTCACGGACGAGACGGCTTCCTTCTGGCGGAGTGGAACGCGTACTGCCCGCACGCCGCTTCGTTGCACGCGCTTCCGCCTCCACAGGTGCCAGTTTTTGGGAGCGGACGCATTCTGGGGCGAGCAACGTACTCAACCAGTACCAGCGCGCTCATCTTGGTCGCCGCATTTGGACGCGTACACCCGGGAGTGCTCCAGAGTGCTCCTCGAATGGCATGCCATCATGGCGTTGTACTGGAGCGCTGGGCTATCGGGATGCTATCATTTCTAGCTATCTCGCGTGATCATGCGCTTGTGTACTGTCGTTGACAGCTTAGGGTTTACTCACTATTATTGCCGTTTATAAGGGTTGCTTGAACATGGCCACATTGGCGAACGGACTCCTATATTCCCAGCCGCAGGCAACCGCGACTCCAGACTACTCCACGTCCGGTGTGATCTTCCGGTGCTATCCACAGCAGTTCCACACATCGTAAGCAAGACGATACAAGTAACGCAGCCTCAGCATGCTTCAGCTCTGAAAGATTGCGCACCCCAAGGATTGCATTGGGTTCTGCCTTCAACCGGCATCTGAACCTTTAATCCGCAACTCGCCAGCCAAGCCTTGTGTAGATTACAAGGTGGCTGAAGTTTTGGCGAGGGGTATCGTAGAGGATGTCAAGCGCGGTGATGTTCACCTTGTCAGCCCCGTGTCGGTTTCAAGTAAGCCGTTCGGAAGAAAGTAAGGGGGTTTAGCATTTGAGTCTGCAAAAGACATGAGCCAGGCCTGGCATCACCCACGGGTATAGAAATAATGCTGCAGTCGACAGGATCACAGAAGCTGCATGAGCGCGAGAAGTCCATGCAGAATTGCTTCATGGAATCTTGTCTAGCCGTGGGTTTGTCCGCTGTAAGGAAAGTTCGCGGGGATCCGACGGGAAAGGATGTCGTGCTGCCCGGGGTCCGTCGGCAATGTGGTCCGCTGCGTGCCGACCGGCACTTCTCCACCTCGGACCGAGTTGATCCGAACAAGCGACGGGATGCCACAAGACTGCGGAAGCAGTCGATGCATGTAATGCACGGCCTATCACTAAAGCAGAGAGTATGCAACATTGAGTCCACAGGAAGCGGAAGGTTTGGCTTTGCATGCCTCTTTCTATCCTAGTGCCGTCTGGCTAAGCTGACAGCCGAGCTGGCCTAGCTGTGCTAGTAGTCGGGTAGAAGATCACGCCGACGATTGGCAGCTGTGCTAATCATGCGAAACCGCTATGTCACATCTGAAGTTCATCGCCTTGATTGATTGTGTTGAGTACTGCCGGTTGTCGATCGCAGAGATTGTTGCCTTGTTGCCGGATCTACGCCAAGCCGCCAGCAGCTAGGGAGCGGCCAGTGCCGACCGAGTCCAGGGCAAGGTACACTACGTAGAACCTCAGTGGGTCGTTTTCGAACGAGCAGAGAGCTGGGAGCTTCTGTCCCCAGACATGCATATCGCAACGAACGCTCTGCAGCTTCTTTGTGAAACCAAGCTCATCACACAGCCTGACGGCTCAGATCCGACACAACGATACTAGTAGGAAGAAAGCCAGCAGTAGAAAGTTCAATAAGGATGTACTGCCATAATGCATCTGCTTTGCCGAGTTGATGCGGGGAGAGTGCCTAACCCGCAGCCAAAACAACTCTTGCGGCTGCTTCGGGAATGTATGGTGTCAATCGAGCGTCTCGACTCGCTCGGTGGATGCCGGCTCTTGCCACAGCAAGCGACCTGCATGCATCTAGTCGGTCCAGCAGGTACGGGGTGGGTGCTCACAATTGGATGCTGCCATGCAGGACACCTAAACAGAATTCAAGAAAGACAATCCCAGCCCTCAACAACCAGGAGATGCAGAAGAATTCGGGTATCATCACTGAAAGCTGCCCTCCCGACGATCATGGTGATGACGATGGTGGCAATTAAGATTATGATGAGGCGGATGATGTTGAGAAACTTCGAGAACGGATGAGCATGAGGACGCCTGACAGTGGCGACGATGATTGTGATGATGTCGACAACGATATACAACGATGATGACCTTGAGTGTTGGTTGCATCTTGCTCGGATCCCCCCAGCCACACATCGAGTGCAAGCCAGCAGCTAGCAGCTAGCAGCGAGCGAGAACAACTTCAATACCAACCAAGCAAATGCCTCCAAGCTCGTCTGTATCCAAGTCCAGGTCCACGAAGCTAATCGCCGAGACACTGGCAACAGTTTCGATGATGCCTGTGGCGTTTTGGGACTCCCAGCGGAGTTTGCACTCGAAGCTTATACCTCACCCCTGAACCTCAATTCCAGACTCGGAAGCCTCTTGTCCTCCCGAGTTGCGCAAGGCTTCCGGCGTGCTCTGCTCCACCAGTGGAGAACGGGTGTATACTACCAGGTGACCTTGGTGTCGGGTTCCGGAGTTCCGTTGCAGTACACCGATTTGGACTCAAGATCGCGCACCCGCACAAGTAATGGAACGCAGGACAGATCACGAGGAAAACAGAAGGAGAATGATGCCGACCGGAGAGCAACCCAACTCGAAACAGGCTGCCAGCCTGGGAGGCTTGCACTTGCACAAAGAAAGCTGTGGCCAAGCGGCTGAACGATTGCAATCCCGTCTCTGCAGGAACGTCCTGAAATGGTCGACAGTCTACGCGGCAGATGGCCATGGATGTGCATCGAATCTGTTTCTGCTACCGTGCGGCCAGAAGCACACTCAAAAATCAAGGCAGCCACGGGCCAGCGCATATTGCATGAAACTCGTTACATCCAACCAGGCTTTTTCAGAGAGCAAGATAGGCCAAACATGCCAAGAACATGTGACGTTCCCAGCGGCGAAGCTGTTGGTGCCAACCGAAACATTGCCCAGGTAGGAGCGGTTCGTGCCTCAGTGTTTAAAGCATGTGCAAAGTATGCTACAGAAAGCTACCGTGGCCATGTGCTCAAGTTGTGGGAACCACTGCTGCCACGGTCAACCTTGCAAGCAGTTGCTTCAGCCCTTGAAACTGATCTCTGTACGTGAGTGTGCGAAGGCTGCGAAGGCTTCAAAGACTCGACGGGCCTCTTCGCCCTGGTCAGCCGGAAACCGGCAACTCCCCAAACTTTCAATATTCAATCAATGTGAGCTAAACCTTCCGAAACCCGATCAAGCGACATTCGAAGCACGACAAGCAGGCACCCCAACGATACACGCACTCGACCGCCGTCTTTGGCCCTCGGAACTCAGCGCGCTGAGCTGGGGCAAAGGCCGTTGCTGTCTTCGGCGAGATAGACCTAGGCTGGAGGCTTCAGATGGGCCTCAGGGCGTGCGAGGCAATTGCAGCTTCAAGATGTGGTGTGCCAAGGTAGCTGCAGGTGCCTTGGGCAATCCTCTCAAAACTTCCTCCTCAGCCGCAAGTTGCCCGTACTCATCTTCTGCGCGGTGTTGGCATTACAGAAACCGGTTTCACGTTGTTGAACAAGCTCCTTCTCAAGGCTCTGAATTCCACTGAAGCACACACAACCCGTGGCCGTGGTCGAGACCGAATACGAGGGCCGATGCTGAACCATTTGTCACTGGCTAGCCACACAATCTCTCAGCTATCAACATCGTTCTGGGCACTGTGGCAGGAAGCAGCCTAACCGGCCCTGTCGCAGGTCTGGTTTGAGGCTAGCAAAATTCTGCAGCTTGACTCGCCTCGTAATCGATGACCTCGCTGAAGTCGCTGGGGTTCTTCCAGGATAGCAGACCGCCAATTTCAAACTGATCCAAATCCTGGGATTTTGATGTCTTAGAGCTTGGTTGAAGGAATATTGTCCCAGCTAAGGAGTCTGCGTTCACGCGTCGGGGGAGAATTACGATCATGCCTGCCTGACGAAGGCCGCTATATATGATGAAAACTACATGTGGTTCGAACTTACGGTGCTGAACAAACTCAGATTCAGCATGTTGCCTGCAACAACTTATGATTCTCTTATATGCGTAGCTGACACTTGCGCCGCGAACCTCCCCAGCCCACAAATCACATGTATCTCGGAAGAGGAGAGAGTTCGCCTGAGCTAGTATGGCCGGGATCAGCTCTGCTCACTCACCCTCAAGAACTCATAATTACTAGTTCGCGACATCTTGCGCCACCTTCTGAGACAGGTTGTTGCACCGCGCCGCACGAAAAGACAATGCACATTACGCTAGCTGCTACTGTATGTGGTTTTCGAGGTGCTACTTCCACATCACATCACCACGACATTTCACGGGGACATGGAACTTTCTGAGCACATGAGTGTTGCATCGACCATACTTGCCCGCTCTGCAAATCTACCACAGCTGGCGGGTCAATCGCTAAACCCGGCTGGATGTTGATCGTAACAATTGCATGCCAAGTACAGGTCTTGAACGAACAACTGCATCGTGAGTGAACGGGTTCCCGGGGCGGCATGTCGCATTTCTTGTGAAGCGGTACAGTATACTCGAAAAGGACAATTGAAGGAATAGTCGCAGGCGTTTTGGTCCGGGTGTCCATCAACAGATACCACATGTGTGTGTGTGTGTGTGTGGGGGTGTTTTTCGTGTGTGCCGGGCGAGGCGAGGAAAGTGAGAGAGAGAGACAGGCAGAGAGGGAGAGAGAGAGACAGAGTGAGACAGAGAGGGACCGGGAAAAAGGGAGAGACAGAGGGAAACAGAGTACAAACCTGCTTGCAAGGCGGGACGACCCTTTGCAGTGTCTTTAGGGAGCAGCGAGACTGCTTATGTTGACACGGATTTGTTTGGTACCTCCGCTTATCTCGATTATTGCGGACACGTCGAATCATTCTTCGTATCCTCAAATGGGAGAGACAATGCCAGAACTAGGTCACGTTGAAGCACGTTTATCGCAAAAGTCATATCATTGCCTGGAGTGGGCAACGGAGGAACCGATATCGGTATGTAAACCGACAGAATTCGTGCAAGTGTCTGTTATTGCTGTCTAGCTAGGGCAAAATCTCAAGTGACTGCGACCACTTGGGAGCGATCACTTTCCGGAGCCGAAAGCCGGCGTCTCACTGTGTCGGGGGGCACGTTCAGGAGCCGATGCCGTCTTGCCGTGGCTCGGAATAGATAGGCTTTCTATGCAGCACGGACTTCTAACCCCTGCAAACCATGGGATATACAGACCTGTTGGATTTTGCAGTGGGCGCGACGATCGGAATTTCGACTTTTATCCTTCACAGCAAGGAATCGGCTGATGCAGCTTCATGCAGAGCAAGGATCATCGTCAGGAAAGTCCATGGCCGAAACCGACGACGACGTGTCAGAGATGCTTGCACCTGGCGGCAGCTTGCATGCCCTTTGCTACTGACTACGGGTTCGATCCTGATGGCCCGTCATGTATACGTGGGTGCGTAAGAAGGACCCATCACAGGCGGAGACAAGGCTTTGCTCACCTGCCGGTGTCGTCTGCTCGACGAGCTGCGAGCGGGTGAAGACCTAAACCGAAAAGGCAGAGAAGCGACGGTCGAATGCAAACACTGAGACTTGAACATCCCCAGGCAGTGGTCAAGAACACCCTGCATGGCTCAGGGCAGGACGGCAACGTGCGTCCAGGTTTGCATGGCACTCTCGGCAGGGAGGAAATTCTGGGTAGCGCCAACCGCTATTTCTGAACCTGCGCCGGGAACAACAAGAACTCGATAATGCAGTACCATATACATTCTACATTATTCCTGTGCCTCTAGCCTAGTGGGCCTAGTGCGCTGCGACGAAGGCCAGCGAACACTGCAGTGCCGAGCGAGGAGCCTATGAGGGACCTCGGCTGTCCCGCCCGCAGCCCAGTGCTGAGGTAGACCCGGTAGCCCAGCACCCTCCTGCAAAAGTGTAAGATTCGGCCGAGGGTTCGGCTGTTTGGTCTGTCTTCGCTTCATCGCTCTGCAAGTCTACATCACTGCACCCCAGTCATCCCTAGTCTTCGCTGCGAGGGTTTGGGTCCGCTCGCGCTCATGTCATCGCTTTGCTTTGCTTTGCTCGGGGTAAGAGTCAGGGGTTCCCCCCCAACTCGCGCCGAAGCGCGCCCCACATGTCATCGCTCTCTCTCTCTCTCTCTCGCGCATTCCCAAAGGGTCCAAGTACCCATTAAAAGAAGATTTTGGGTCCCAAAGAATCGACCATATAAGGACTCCCCTTTGGGATTCAGGTCTCGCCCACCACTCCTTCCTTTCAAGGCTAAGGCTTGGAAAGACCTTCCGCTGCATTGTCCGTTGCTGCTCAATGCTGGGTTCGGGCCCATACCATGGTTTTTCTATATTGACGAAACCACAAAACCCTCGTCTGATAAACCTATAGTCACTATAGAGTCTGTAACAGTACCAGCTTGAAGTCTGTGTGATTCCGTTTGTACGGATCTGGTACGATGCCGACGCAAGTGCTCAGGCCGTACAATGGTGCTACACTCCAGAAACATCCCTGAGCCCCCACCGACGCCACCGACCCACTCACCGCTTTAAAGAGTCCGCACGTAGCAGAATGAATGATGATAATGCAGTAAATCTTCGATTACACCGAAGCTTTCTGAGGACTGTTGACAGTGTGGTTCATTGCTAATTTTGGCATCCATGCTAGCACCAGCTCTTGCTATGAATTTTGAGTACTGGTTGACCAGTGCTGGTATGCTGCAGCTTGCTCACTCACGGTCCTCGGTCTTCACTTGCCCACTCATAAGGGTCCGGCGTCAGTGACCGTTGCTGACGAGAGAGGGAAGTAGGGTAGCGTGAGTATCATTGTCCTGTAGAGGCATACACCTCTCTTCACGGGCATGAACGGACAAGGCTTCTTTCCTTCTCGCGATTGGACTCAGAAGCTTGGTGGTGGGGTTCTTAGGTCTTTCCGGGGCTAGGTCCTGACATCCGTCGGCGCAAGCCAGAGAATGTCGCCACCAAGCTCATCTTCGTCCAAGTCCTGCTGTACAGTAGGTCTGATACAAGCCAACTGCCATCGGCTG